AAAAAAAAAAAAAAAAAAATCCTCCCTTCAAGTGATTAGGTAAGGTAGACTTTATGAGTGACTTGAGTTTCTAGAGTCTGAATAATTTGTATAGGTTTTTGGCTGTGTATCACTAAGTTTACACAATATTAGTTGTCGATGTTTTTGAAATCATTTTGCATCTTTTCTCCTCCTCCCAGCTGTCAATTCAGTATCCTTAGGGAAAAATGGAGTTGTGGAGCTAATGTTTAAAATCATCGGACCGTTTAGTAAGAAGAATTCAGGTATTATGAAGTGAGTAAATGTTTTGAATGTAAATTGAGGTATATCCTTTGTTATTCAGGGCTTCATTTTCTTAATATGTACAGTGAACGGGTTGAATTAAGTTGTGTCTAGGGTCCTTTCTTGGTTCTTAAATATTTTATCACAATAAAGATTTTCTTCAGTGTAAAGTTTATAATCTTCAAAAATACCTCAAAATTAGAAAATTTAAAATTCATTGAATGTAGTGTTTATAGAAATTTAGACTTTGAACATTCCTAGATATTCAACATTCCTAGATCATTTATAGAGTATTATGCATTCAGAAACGTTTATTGAGTGCCTACTATATTCCCCACCCATTTTTTAGTCTTTTAATGACTACTTCATTCATTCACTTGATTATCTGAACATGTTTTAAATTTATACATTTTTATTTTATTGAAATAATGTATCTTTTTCTTTTTTTCCTACTTATCTTGAGATATATATTTATATGTGTGTGTATGTGTTTTCATTTGGTCATAGGCCTTTCACCTCAGAAAATGAAAGCAGCAGTTAGTTATTTGGTTATATTTAGCATTTTCTTAAGCCACATTAGAGGTCATTCTTTAAAAAAAATTTTTATTGAGGAATTTTTCAAACATATATAAAATAGATTTATATTATATTAAACTAATTATATTGAATTATATTAATTACTTATTGTATTCAACAATATCAACATTCTGCCATTTTTGTTTCATTTTTTTTTCTCTCCACACTTTGTTTTTTCCTAGGGTACTTTTAAGCAAATCTCAGTATATATCTCTGTAAGCGAATCCTAGATATTTTTTCTGAATAATATTAACATTTCTCCCCTAAATACTTTAGCATACTAAATGTTAACATTTCTCTCCTAAATAGTATTTTTGTAAGTCTTTATTTAGTACTCTACTAAAATAAAATAAGTAGAGTACTAAATAAGGACTTAAGAAAATACGCACAATAGTATTCCACAAAATTAGTAATTTCTTAGTACAGTCTAAAATCTAGTCTGTGCTCAGTTTTTTTCCAGTTGTCTCAAAATTGCCCTTTTATAATAAGTTGGTTTGTTTGAATCAGAATCCAAACAAGATAAACAGATTATTTCTCATTATATTTAGAAAATTTCCAAGCCTGCACAAAAGTAGAGAGAATAGTATAACTGATATATTTGTCACCCAATTTCAACAAAAGTCAACATTCTGCCATTTTTATTTCATTTTTCCCTTTTCTGTCATTTTTTCCTGGAGTATTTTAAAGCAGATGTCAGTCATTACATTTGATCTGTAAATTTTTAAGTATGATCAGTATCAGATGCAGACCTTTTTCTTTAGAGTTACCACAGTATCATATCAGCTTTTTTTGAGTTATTGTTCGGTGTATTATTCTGTTTGGGAAATAGGAAGATTGGAAAAATATATGAGGAAGTATAAATTATTGATACTGAGAGATTTTAATCAGCATAATACAAACTATGTACTTCAATCTCATTTTAAAATTCTTTTGTAACTTTTATTTTATAAATTCTTACTAGCTTATAAGTAAATAGAATTTCAGAAATTACTTTGTTAAAATACCTTTAGATAACGCTTTGGTAAAAATTTAAAATGAGTTTGTACCAAACTATAATTTTCTTCTGACCTAGTGAAACTATGGGCTAAGCACGATGGGTATTAGAGTCAGAAAAAACTGGGTTCGTATTCTAGTTTTCCAGTGTTGAAGAATAAATGCCAACAAAAATCCCAGTTTTTATAATTTCAGGATTAGAAACTGTCAGAAGCACTTTTATTTGGTTCAAATATGTATAAGCAACTGCCAGCAAGGAGAAGAACTTTCTGAAAGTACTCTAGGATTTTTATAATTTTGAATAAAGAAGTAGCTGTAGGTGGGAAAATCCTGAGTTCATTGCAAGTGATTGCATCTGAGATATTTTATTAGTTTTCTAGGGCTGTTATAACAAAGTACCACAAACTTGCTGGCTTAGAACAACAGAAATTTATTATCACAGTTCTGGAGGCTAGAAGTCCAAAATCAGCTTGTCAGCAGGTCTGTGCTCCCTCTGAAGACTGTGGGGAAGAATCCTTCCTGGCTTCCTCCTGGCGTCTGGTGGTGTGTTGGCAGTCTTCTGCATTGCTCGGCTTACAGCTGCAGCCTTTCGGTTGCTTCCTCCGTCATCATTTGGCGTTCTCCCCTTTTATGCCTGTCTTCACATGGTATTCCCTCTTCTCATGAGGACACTAGTCACGGTGTATTAAGGGCCCATCTACTGCAGTATGACCTCATCTTAACTAATTACATCTGCAGTGATCCTGCTTCCAAATAAGGTCATTCTGAGGTTAAGACATCAACATATCTTTTTGAGGGACACAATTCAACCCATAAAAGTGATATTGTTAATTGCATGTACTTTATAATAAGTACAATTTGTGATCTTTCACTGTGTCCTGTGTTAGCTGTGTCTTCACTTTGCATAGTTACCTGGAATGTCTTTCGTACACCTTGACTTCTATCAATACGTAGATATTAATTTTTAAGTGGGTCACGATAGTCACTGTAGTAAAACATTTGACAAGCAGGCTGTTTGTGGTCTCTTGGTGAGAAATACAGAGTGGAATCTGCTACTTACTGTAGAGAAAATGTGTAATGCTGTGTCTTGAGACTTTGCTTTCTTAACATGATTGTTTAGTGCTTGGGAGAGTAAATATTTTTGTCTTAGGTAACATCACTTTTTAAATAAAAGGGATTATAACATATAGCAGTTATGTGAAGTGCCATAGGAAGAGAGTTTTACTTAGTTTCTCTTATATTAGGCCTGATTGCCTTCTGTTTTTTAAAATACCTTTCTGAGATATAGTTGATGTATAATAAATTGTACATATTCAAAGTATACAATTTGAGGGCCGGCCCGGTGGCGCACTCGGGAGAGTGCGACGCTTGGGAGCGCGGCTGCGCTCCCGACGAGGGTTTGGATCCCATATAGAGACCGGTCCGCTCACTGGTTGAGCACAGTGCGGGTGCGACACCGAGGGTTG